AAAAATTTTTGGGGGGAACTCTGTGCTGGCAATATATATTTTTAACAGAATTAGTGGATATATATACACTGAATCCTTTCCATGGCAAGATTTTTTTCTGACAAAATGCCAAGGCAGACTTTTTTCCCAAAAAAATTTCCTTTTTTTTTGCTTTAGCTATTACTATCACTTTTCTCATGGGTCGCCCCTAAGACAAACTACTCTTTCGTGTCTGATCAGGGGAATTCACGTTATTCTCAGTTCCCTTCTTTTTCTTTCTTTCTTTCTTTCTCATTTTCTGAGATACAAACCGATTTTGATGTGACCTCTGTCATATGTCAATCTATTTTTTGGTCACGCATGCTGTTGCTTTATGAAGCGCTTATATTTACAGACAAACGAAGCAATCGAGCTCTACAACATGAAATTCAAATTCTTTCTACTTATCGTAACTGTTACATCCTTTGTAAAGACAATATCTTCAAAAACTGCTGAAGAATGGAAAACGAGGATAATCTACCAGATTTTAACCGATCGTTTCGCTCCCTCGGGTGACTTACCAACAACAAAATGCACAAACTTGAGAGGATGGTGYGGGGGAACATTCAAAGGCATACAAARACACCTCGATTACATCTCAGGACTCGGGGCTAATGCAATTTGGATCTCGCCTATTGTTCTCAACACAAATGGGGGCTATCACGGATACTGGGCAAAGAACATTTTCGAAATCGAGTCACATTTTGGCTCAAAAGAAGATCTCAAGAATCTGGTGAAAGCGTGTCATGAGCGTGACATTTGGGTRATGGTTGATGTAGTTGCCAATCACATGGGATACCCTCCCAATACAGACTGGACAACGCCCTGGAACTCCACYCTTTTTAATAACTTCCCSGATCATTTCACGCCTTTTAACAAATYCGAATACTACCATCCTCAGCATCCYTACATTAAGTGGCCTGAGGAATGTCACGATTTGCACAAAATACAAACGTACTGGCTTGCAAATCTACCYGACCTTAACCAAAGTCACCCATTCGTCCAGGAAACGCTACTAAAATGGATTCAAGATATTGTAATCGAGTATGAATTTGATGGATGCAGAATTGACACTGTTATCCAAGTACCAAAATGGTTTTGGACCAAGTTTCAAAGAGCAGGCAAAGTGTTCATGCTTGGTGAGGCAAACAATGGCTCTCCACCCTGTGGAACGATTAACTTTACTGCTCAGTTYCAAGGCCCACTCAAATCAGTTTTAGACTTTCCATTGTTTTGGACAATGAGATATATTTTCCAAGAAAGAAGTCAGAACTTCACGTCCCTGAGCAAGAATTTAATCGAGTCAGCCAAAGCATTCCTGGACAGGTTAGTGTCATTTTTCTATCAATTCCAAACAATGCTCATTTGGTTATTTAGTGTTTTGATTTCATTAATGATCAATTAAATTCTAATAAAAAGAATTTTTTAATAATTTTAATTGTTGTTGTATTTTTTTTTGTCGTGTAAAACCTGTATGATATTTAAGTACATCGAAAGTTCTCCTTCAGCAGTATGGTGAATATATAAAGAAATACAAGTGTGGCCAGGTATTGCTGTAGACAGGGACAGCTCAGACTATAATTATCAGTATTAGCCCTCCAGCAATACTGGGGCAGGGCCACACTCTTTCTTAAAGGGACATGGTCCACCAGCATCCCTTTCGAGCTTTTGTTTATGTTTGAAAATAGAAATACATCGTAATAAAAGCAAAAACTTACTCCTTATTAATCCTTTATACTATATGAATGTAGATGCTTTAAGATTCGACCTTTAATCCGATGGATGGAAACGGATTGCGAATTGATATTCGAAGTGACCTCATTTTCCATATATGAAAAATCTAAAACACGACCGCATTGCATGCTAGTGGACCATGTCCCTTTAATGTACAGAAGGAACACTCAGCTTKAAAGATGTGTGCACTTTGCATCATAAAAACTGGTCAAATTTTAGGTGAAGTTAATGRWATTAAGGGAAATACTACAATTGTTTAGGAAGTGACAAGAGCAAAAAATGTCCTTTCTGTGTGTAACGGAATCCAAGGGGTATTGAAAAGTTTTTACTTCATTGTTTTCAGCACAGAGGGAACCCAATAAAAAATGATGAGAATAACTGTAATTAAATCTTTTTTTGTTTGTTTGCTTTATCMACTGTTACAAGAGTAGAAACTACAAACACTAAAACCAATGCATGCAGCAAAAATACCACAAGGCTACTTTAGTAGAAATCAAAAATCTACTTTACACAATATAGAAATAATTATAAGTGTTTCCCTGTTTGGCTTATAAAAGAAAAACACGTTTYACTTTCTGAATTCACTCTTTCAATCTAATGTATAAATTATATAGTAAATATGGTAAAAACATAGCAAGACTACAAATTGCCCTTTTGGGATCTCTCTGGTACCCTCTTGGCTTGGGGAAGTAGAGGAAGACAGGAAGCCCAAAAGTAAAAAGAAGAGAGATGTCTGTGCAGTTGGAAAGTAAAGATATTCACTCAGGCCACTATCATTCATTACCCATGCAAACGAGTAGCCCACAAATAAGTGCAATGAAATAGGAAATATTTTTACATTTTACATTATTTTGCATTTTTTAGATCTGTTCTTGGGGGATTCATAGACAACCATGACCATGAAAGATTTCTTCATAAGAATCCAAGTTACACAGCTCTTCGTAACAACTTRGTTTATATCTTTATGTCCCAGTGCATTCCAATTCTTTACTATGGAACAGAGCAAGGCTTCAGTGGTGGAAATGATCCAAATTGCAGGGAGTCATTATGGCCTTACATGAACCCTAAACACGTGCTATACCAGTTTATTCGAAATCTTATTCAGGTTCGAAAGTCCCAAGGAAAATCTTGGCTGAACAGCAATCAACTGGAAAGACATGTTGATGCAAAAGTCTATGCTTTCTCACGTCAGAACGTACTGGTTGTAATCACTACTAATTCAATGAGCATAACAAGAGTTCTCAAGTCTCATCCGTTCAAGGCTGGTGATGAGGTTCAGAACTTACTTGATGTCAAACAAAAGTTCAAAGTCTCAAATGAGGGGCAGTTAAAAGTAACTTTGTTGGATGGCGAGGCTCTTATACTGGCAAGAATTACAAGCATTGCAACTAGTGTTRCCTCAGTTCCAATTATGTATGCTGCATGCTGTATTTTATTCTTCATTTTGTAGTTTTCATAACCATCAAACCATGTGATGTGTCGAGTTGTCTTAGTTTCTATCATATGGGCTGGAAAGACATGTCCTTAATTTGTAGTTCTATCATCCCAAATCCTTTTCCATTGCTCTGCTATGATCTTAGTTGATAATAAGTAGTCAATGTTTTCTTCTGACTAATTTCAAGTCAGACTTTGCAAGAGAAGTAATATTTTCCATGACTGTAATCATGTTAAAGCATTAAAATACTGTATATTAAAAAAAGATAGYTGATTGGTTGCAGTTCTAGTATAAAAATTAGATTAAATATTACAAATTAGTAATCATCATYGTCGTCATCATCATCATCATCATCATTATCCCGTCGACCTCTGATTGACTTTTTCAGTAATGTTGGTCCAGTGGCTTTTGGCTTGTCTGGTGGTTGGCTTAAATCCCCACTGTAGTTAATAACCTCAGCTCTAGCTATCCTCCATTCCATCATTGATGTAGTGAATTCATCATGTCCGCCCAACTCATCAAAACCAACAATTCGATCGACAAATTTTCCATCTTTAACTAAAACAATCGTTGGTAGCACTTTGATGCTCAGTCTGTCACATAAAAACTTGCATTTTCCCACGTCRATTTTGACAAACTTTGTTTCCACGTGCTTTGGGGCGAGAAGGGCGAGGTGCTTGTCGACGATTTTACAGCGAAAAGTTGAATCACGATAGAAATGACACACCACTCTAGGGCTGTCTTTCGTCTCGGGGAAAAAATCAGGCTCACTTGCTATCTCAGAGTAAGTTCCATGCCCCTTTTGGATCCACTCGTTTTTCATTTGAGCTTGTTTTTTAAGCTGGGCAAGTCGTTTTTCTCGTAGATCTTCCATTTCATCTGTTGTCATTTTCTCTAACCGGTCAATTTCTGAATCCACTTGTTCCTCAACCATTTTGGCTGCTTGGAGGACTGTATCCTGTAACGCTTGCTCGAGGGCCATGATTGATATTATATAAAACTTTTCTTAAATGAAAATACACTCCCAAAGGTTTAAAAATGTGTCTTCTTTAGCCAAACAGATTCCTTTGTAATGGCGGGCGAGTTTTGAAAGACAGTTGTTACCAGGCGACACTTGGATAAATACTTATGACCGTTTGGGCTTGGGGAATAGAGAGACCCCGGAGGCCTWTGGGTATAATCCAATATGGTGGATGGACTTGAGTTGTAATTGTTCCATCGACTATCTTTTATAAAACGTTTTTTTTACCCGTTTGAAGACCCTATCGATAAAAATTCCCTATCTTTTTTTTTGTACTTTTATCATGTCTTCTTCAACTAAAGATAGCAATTTTCTAGAACGTCCAAAATTAACAGAGAAAGACCTTGYAGAAGAAAACATGGCTGGAAGTTCTGAAGATATAAAAACTCATGAAGGCGAAGCTATAAAGAATGACCATGAATCGAATGAGACGAYCAAGAAAAGAACAAGCGAAGAACTCATATCTGCTGACGATAAACTWGCGTTGGAAAATACAGAACAGCCGCTATCTAAAAAACAGCGAAAAAAGTTACTCAAGCAGCAAAAATACGAAGAAATAAAAAAGATGAGAACTATAAAGAGAAAGGAAAAAAAGAAACTAAAAAGAGAACAGAGAGAACAAGAAGGCAACCAAGAAGTCAAGCCGTCAAGTGATCTTCCCATTATTAAGTACAGAACCATGGATTCTCCAGATGCATTTCCRCTGAAAATTGCCATCGATTTAAGCTTTGACAATCTCATGTCCGATAAAGATATCTGTAARCTTACGAAACAGCTTCAACGCTGCTACTCACTCAATCGCCGTTCACARCACCCTCTGCAACTATACTTCACAAGCTTTGGAGATAAATGCAAGAAACGYTTTGATAATGACTTGAAGGGTCATTATGTTAGCTGGGATGTTCACATCAAACCAGACTACATTACTGATGTTTTCCCTAAAGAAGATATAGTCTATTTAAGCTCAGATTCAGCAAATGTGTTGACTGATTTTGATATGTCAAAGATATATGTCATAGGAGGTCTTGTTGACCACAACCACCATAAAGGATTATGTTATAACATAGCCGAAGAGAATGGCATTGATCATGCACAGTTACCTATTAATGAGTATTTCAAGTTAACGAGCCGCACTGTCATGACTGTCAATCAAGTATATGAGATTATAATGTATTATATGGAGAGTAAGGACTGGCGCGATGCATTTACAAAGGTTATGCCACAAAGAAAGATAACTCCTAAAGTGAGAAGTAAAGGAAAATGCAAAACTGAAAATGAAAGAAAAGATGGAAGTGAAATCAGAACAGAAATTAATGAAGGTAGYGAGTGATCATCATTTGGCAGTTGGCAAAATGAAGAGTGGTATATCAAGAACACAGTTTGAGGTGTTGTCCACCAAATAGAGTTTGGGAGGGAAAGCATCGGCATGCGACACAGGCACATCTTGAAATAGGGCTAAGACAAGCACTTCTTTTCAGATCACAAACAAAGAGCTGCAAAGCATCAAGGGCAATACTGGGCCTTTAACACTCATTCATCAAAAGCAGACAATTTTGAATTAGTGTTGGAAAGATTTTGCATTGAAACACAGGCAGCCCAAGCTGATGAGAGGGCTGTATATACCACAAATAGCAATAATATAATATAAAAAAAACAGAAAATTTAAAATAAAGTTTTCCTACCTTGACTTGAAAGCCCTCTAAAACAGCTCCAATTCAGCCCAAATTACACAAGGAACGGAAATAAGTTCATGTCAAGGTAGGAAAACTTTATTTCAAATTTTCTGTTTTTTTTAATATTATTGCTATTTGTGGTACATATACAGCCCTCTCATCAGCTTGGACTTCCTGTGATTGAAACAGCATTATCATGTACATGTACTCAATACATTTTAGTGTCTGCAGAGAAAACCTCAGTAACAAAGGGTGCCATTTTTCTGTTTCACAGTCAAATGCAATCTCATACCAAGAGCCCGTGTGACTTTTGATCTGTAAAAAGAACTTGGAAGAACACTTTTTTTGTCAAGCATGTGCAGTAAGATGGACAAGGGTACTGTTTACGAGATTGAATCAAATGGTTCTTTTACAGCAAAAAACTAAATTACTGCCATTTCTTTCATATTTTATTGTGCGAACCACATTYTTACAATATCTCTTCACAGTAAAGCAATATATCAAAAAACCTTACTTATAAATAATCACCTCACAATTGACAGCAAATCAAAAATATTCCATACCTATTCGATGCAAACTTAATTTTGCATTTCCCTGATATACTAATAAAAATCATGATCATATCAGTAGAAGAAAATATGCTTGATAAATTTATAWTGTAACTAATTAATATTTAAATGCACAAATAATTATCTATTTTGACTATTAATTCCTATAAAATGTAATAMCTAATTACTAAGTCCATATTAAATAATTGTTTCTTGATCACAATATATTCCATGTATTAATTTGTAAAATACTTACTTTCAATTGTCAACTATTAAATCCAGCATTCCAAGTACATTTTTCTATCTATATTGTATTTTTCAGTAGTAGAAGGTCAGAGAAGAGTTCTGAAATATTTATTTTTCTGTTTTTTGGAACTCTGGCTTGTTGCAAGCTATAWTCTCATTGCTTGTGTTATTTTTGCTTAGTGTAAATATTAAGAATGAAAATATTGTTGTTTCCTACTGAATGTATGCATCCAAATTTACTATTGTCATAAAATACAGTTGAAAATATCGATTGTTTTGATTAATTATTAAATAACTGTGGCCCAAGTACATCATTTTATGTATGCATGGTTCAACAAATAATGTTTTATACATTCAAATGTCACATTTTGAAATTGTTAGCAGAACTTGGWAGCATGCCATTGTGGGGGCCTAGAAGACCAATTCGCTGCTTTTGTTTTCGTTGTTCTGTCATCTGCAACAATAAGAAAAAAACATGGTTAAGTCATCTTTATTTCACAGTGTTGTCATGAATTCTCCCTACCATCCTTTTTAGCAATAGGTGTAATATTGCTTTATGTAATATATAAAATATGAGGGAAACAGCTTTATGAATAGTTTAAAACACAATCTCGAGACGGCTTCAAAAACTCCAGCACTAATTTGAAACTCAAATCTGTTAAAATTCTTGGAGAAATTGTCTTACAAAGCACACAAACATGTACGATGTTGTCCATTGTTCAGAATTTCTTTGTATGCTGGCATCTGTTTATAAATAAAGATTGTGCTTTTCTCTTATAAATAATGTTGTCCATTATTAACAATTTGTTTTAAGTCATAAGTGTCTGGAAATACCTGTTCTCTGAGCTCCATCAGCTGCTGAGAAAGAGTCGCAACTAATTTGGCAGTGTTTTCAAGTTTGTCATTTAGAATGCGCATCTCATTTTGCTCTCCTTCTCCTTCRTCAATAGCTAAACTCATGGCCTGCATTCTTGGAAACCAGTCAAGATTCTTTTCCTTATGAAGTAAAAGTASAGAAGAAATTTAACTTACAGAKAAAACYTACCATTTTTGCCTGTATTAGGRATTTATATTGGCTCGGTGCATATAGCTATTCTRCAAAATGTTGACTAMTGAATACTGTATACCCTACTGAAATGGTTGCTTGTMGTTGCTAYTGGATTCCTTKTAAATGTACTAAGTGTCATTTACTAAATGATAATTCAAAGTGTAAATTGTTTAATTATTTTGAAGGTTCAGGAGAGCTGGCAAATAGTCACTCAGAAATAATGAGAAGATTTCCTTTTCTAAGCAATGATACGACGACTAACAATGAATTTTGGTAATGGAATATACTATCTTCTGAGCTCAACGTATTCTGAAATAGCTGTGAGTATCCAGAAATATAGTACGTAAAATATAAATTATTTAGTAAGATGTTTGTTGTAGTTAGTAATTTTTACCATAAAATTTATTACGACAAGAAGACTCAACGTTTCGGTGGCATCGATCAGGCACCATTTTCAAGAGTAAAGTAATTGTGAGTTCGTACCCTAGAGCTGCAATATTCAAATACTATACTCAAACCACGAACTCACAATTATTTTCCTCTTAAAAGTGGTACCAGATGGCATCGAAGTCGAGTCTTCTTGTTGTAATAAATTTTATAGTATAAATTATTAAATAAATATAAATGACATGTAACACAGATTGATTATAAGGAAATAACTAATCATTATTTCATACCTTAATCATTTGTGTGGCATAACTCTCTGGTCCTGTAAATTCTGTGGGATCTTTTACTTTCAGTAAAACAATAAAATAAAGGTAATGCCACATATTGTGTTGATTTTTAATGTGCTCCTCAAACGAAACAGATTTATTATCGAAAGCTGATCTGTCAAGACCTGAAAGAGACAATGACTATAAGCTAAACTAGAATAATCCTCAGCAGGACCTGGTTATATCAAGYGAATKATACTTTTTGCTAGCCAGTTGACCTTAAAGACATTGATTTGAACCTGCTACCTTCAGAGGTCTAGCCTGATGCTCCACCAACTGAGCTACAGGTTTCASCTCTAATTGGGAGCAGAGATRGACAAAGGTAGAGGGTTCAAATTCCACTAACAAGTAAAGATATTTTAAGCTCTATAGTCAAAAAAACATTTCTCCTTTGAGCAATAAGTTTTTCATGTTTACATGACACGTTTTTAAACCTAATATGTTTACATTCTCTGTTTGGTAAATGCTAAAATAGAAAGAAAATATTAAGATGGTTACAATTAACCAAATATGGTACCCACCACAAATAAAACAAGTGTTTTTYAAGACCTCATCCTTTGTCTGCTTTTCACTTCTCAAATCAGCAAAAGTATCAATAATGACACCRAAAATGAGATTTAGTACAATGATGATCACCACGAAGAAGAAGAGCAAATCATAAATGACSCGACCAGCAAACATCTTTTCCTGTTGAAAACAYAGTAAAGCATTGTAAAAMATCAATGAATCAAAACAACAAACAAGTGACTGAATTTCATTGGGAATTCATTTGTTYATTTAACWGATAAKCAGCTCTGATRGAACAGCTGTGAAGTTTCTCATTGTCATGACCCAACTTATCATTGGAAGTGGCAAATTGGTTGATTGATGTTGAAAGAACAATCCCTAATGGCAATTATTCCAAAGTAGAAAATTCCTCTGTAACTACATTTCTTTTGTATTGAAGATTTATTTTTAAAAAAGAGGAGGCATTAATTTGAGAATGTTACAATGTTAGTTACTAAAGTGAGAGATTTTTCATTAGAAGTTCRGCAAAGGGCAAAATCCTTTGTGGTGCTAACTTTTGCCAAATTAGTTGTAATGCTTTAAAATAATTTAGACCCTAAGTTATGATTTACATAATAATTATGATTACTTTTTACAAAACAGTCACTACCACCAAATTTAATRAAACTCCTTCAAAGTATAAATACAAATAATAAGCAAGGCACTACRTCAAAAAAGAATGAATCTTACAGTGCTTGATGGCCGTCGTAACACRTCACCAATACCACCACCATTCCGTAAWCCTTGGTTTAATGTAGTTACTATACACATKATAAGTGTATCACAAGCTCGTTCTTTAACAGAACTGCTGTCCTCTTCACTTTTGGAAGCTAGGGTGTTTAAATGATTACTAACTGTGAATGTTTCCTCACAAGATTTGTTTCCTGCAGTACAAGAATTAGTGCCTGTAGAATAATAGAGAATTTTTAATTAGTACTGTACATGTTCTCTGTCAGCTGAAATCGTCTTAAACAATTATTAAAATACTGGTACTTTTGATGATTTTAACCAAACTTAATTACTACACAATATTTTTATGTCTGTGAATGACCAATTTCAAGTTTTCAGATGAACATCAATTTCAATAAAATATGTTATTAGATATCATATAGTGAAAATGCAGCAGAACAAGAAAAAAGTGTCTTTTATATACTCTTCTTTGACTGAAAATGGTCCATSAATTTTCTAAACGCCTAACAATGTTAAATAATAATACAATTTTTTACCACTTATTTACTGTAATTACCTATTTGYGCAATTGCCTGTGGAGGATCTGTTTCTACCAGAAAATCATCTTTAAGAAACAAGAATGCCACAAGAGAAAACATGTAMACAAGAATAAGTGCAAGMAGTGCAGTCAAGATAATGGAACGACCATTACGAGTTACACTACGTATSACATTCAACAGTGTCTCCTCACGGAATATTACATCAAGTAGCTGTGGAAAGATAGCAAAATCAAATAATTATCAATCATTGTGTTGTAAGACCAATGATATACTGCATATTAACAATTACACAACACAAGCAATAAGATATGTACCATCACAAGGTGTGTACTATCACAAACAACGAGGAACCATTAAAAACAATTAAACATACATCAATCAAAAACAATAACATACAATCACAAACAATGACATACTATCACAAACAATGGCATACCATCACAAATAATGACATATTATCACAATGACATGCCATCCCAAACAGTGTGACATGCCTTCACAAACATTTAAAAACATGCCTTTGCAAACAAGGACTTAATATCACAAACAATGACATACCATCACAAACAATGACAAGCCATCACAAACAATGACATACCACCACAAACAATGACATACCACCACAAACAATGACATACCACCACAAAAAATGACATACCATCACAAACAATGACATACATGTACCATCACAAACAATGACATACCATCACAAACAATGACATACCATCACAAACAATGACATACCATCACAAACAATGACATACCATCACAAACAATGACATACCATCACAAACAATGACATACCATCACAAACAATGACATACCATCACAAACAATGACATACCATCACAAACAATGACATACCATCACAAACAATGACATACCATCACAAACAATGACAAGCCATCACAAACAATGACATGCCATCACAAACAATGACATGCCATCACAAACAATGACANCATTACAAACAATGATTTCCAATCACAATATTAGACAACAGACAATACTTACAAGAATTGAATAAAAGAAAGTATGCACAGTAAGACCAAGGACACCAAAACCAAAGTATGTTAAATGTAAAACTAGTTCTTTGTCTGTGAGCATACGWCGAAAACCATACTGAAAAGTTCCATGATTACCCACAAAACTTATCACTGAAACAGCTTTATTGATGACCTACAAGAACAAYCAACATGGAACAAAGAATTATAAATAATTGTCATTTTGCAATGCCACCTACTAATTGTCATTTCCAAGTAACTTACATTTGCAACTCCAAGTACATACAATGTAGGTTCAAGACCAAGAGAAAAGATGAGCCTAATTATAGTTGATCCAACGAATGTCCTAATTCCTGAGGGTCGTGGGAAGGTTACTATAATAACAAAAGATACTAGCATGGCCAGCCACACTAGAGCGGACAGACGAGGATCCAATTCTGAAAATAATAAATATTAGATTTAATTCAAAGAGAGAACATGCATGTCGGCAAGGTAAAGCTGCAGCCGCATGCCATTATTGTGTAATACTTTATCCAGTATTTATATGATGCTCCATCCAGCATCACACACCATCAAACAAGGTGGCAATTGGCACATTGGTGGGTCACCCAATTCAACAATGTTTGATGATGATGGATGATCCAACATTATTTCTAGTTTGACAACTGTTAAAGGAGTAGGTACTTACAACATGTGTGCATAAGACTATTAACTTAGAGATGCATGTATACCAGAGGATCTCAAGACAAATCATATTAAGAAATACTTGATGTATACAAGATCTCAGATTCACATTCACTTAGTACTGCTTTAAATGCCATTGTGTGTCTCAGTCAATGGAAATCACACAGTGCAAGGTAAAAAGACCATTTTCTCATGTAAACAGTTTGCTATTATCATCAGTTCTTTCAAAACAACKTGTTTCAAGAGATGGATTGAATAGGTAGTATTAAAAGTTTATGTGTTCAACTGTTCCAAATGTACCTACCTCCAGGTCCATCAGAGAARGGATAAAAGAACCCAACAAGAACATTGATTAACACTGACAGATTGATAGATATCTGTTGCCATAAACTAAGACGACTACTAAGACCAAATAATAGACGATGCTCTGGAATAAAAAAAGTCCATAATTCTGTGCATGAATATCACAATGATAATTTGGAATTCCTGGAAATGTGATTGGAAATGGTAACAGTAATGTTACAACATCTATTTCAAAGTCTACTGTTCATGAAGGAACTTGTACCTCTGAGCTTCTTTTGCCACTCCATTTCTTGGTACAAATCTTCTGTTCTATCAAAGAAATCAGACACCTGAAAAAAAAAGAAGATAAATGAATGGATGACTGAATGAAAAGGAACAAAATAGAGAAAATAAATGTACTATTGAAGAAACAAATGGATGAAAAACTGACTACTGGGTAGCTATGGGAACAGAACGATAGAAATAAGGTGAGAAGTGGAAGTCATGTGACAAAATAACAATTYTAAACTTAGTTCCTTTGCATTGAAGTTCTTGACTGTAAGAAGCTACTAAAGTCACTCCATGAAATCTCCTTTTCAATAGAATGACTATTAATGCATTACCCTCTTGAATACACTACATCTGAAATAGCTGTGTATACAAACAGTAATTCTAGTTAAAAAGAGGTAAAAGTCATGTTTACCTTGCTATTTTGATCATCTCGTTCACATGTGGTATACACCACTGTTTTRCTTTCTTCTGTCAAAAACTCACAGATTTGAGGGACAGGAAACACRATTTGTTCCATTATACGATCTTGCCGAACAACCTGAGAAACAAAGACAGACTTTAACTTAGCCTGCAGTTGTGCTTATCTATTTAGTGGTCTCAACTTTCGGATTGATAAAGATTATTAGAAACTAGTGAAATGTCTGTTATGCATTACTAGGTTTATTTTGTAGCTTCTTTATGAYTATTTCATTGTACAACTTTAATACTGACAATGATTTATCTTTTGGTGCTTTTTTGTGCTAAAATATACAATACCTCAATCTGTGCTGTATTTTTGGCGTAAAAGTCAAGCGCACTATCCCCAGAAAAGTCATCAACTTCAGARTCCACATGTGGGCCAACTTTGAGGAGYGAAGCAAGCTCTTTATTTTGTTGRGACAACTAGACAAATAGAAACACTTCTGTCAACAATTATGGTCATCACATCTATCCTCAAAAAAATATAAAAAATAGTGTTCATTAAAAATCTTTGTCAGGTGCAGAATATGTAGCAGTCAGATAGGATAACATTGCCTATGCCAATCATGATTTTTGTTGTACTAGTACTTATATCCCAAACTGGTGTAGTTTGTTATTTGTGTTTAATGTTGCTATGGTTTGCTTTTTTATTTTTATTGTTTATTTTTGTATTTTTATTGGATCTTGTTGCCATGACTCATATTGTGATGGCTCCAGTTGCTATGACTCCACCTTGCCGTGATTCTTGTTGCTATATAGTTCACATTCATTGGTCTTCTGTTGTACTTGCAACATTTATATACTATTTGCGACAGTCCCTTTCACGCTCGCTCAATAAGAAATAGAGAAATGCTTGTATGGATTGAAAGTTGAATAAACCACTAGGGAACGGGTGGAAGGGTAAATACAAGCATGGTAGCGTGCGGTAGCAATCCTGGAAGGGAACTGGGAGTTATGAAAAAAGGCCATTAGTATGACCTTGACCGCCTAGGAGTATGTCGCGAACTGGGCTAGAATGGGATTTCGAGCTCTTATTTATACTGGCTCTGTAAGGGACTCCCGGGTAGAAATCTTATTAGGATCTTATAAGGTCTATTAAAGTGGTGCAAACAGTACATGTAGTTGTAGTAACCGATAATTTTGTGATCAATTTGTAAGAAACAAKTTGACATACCAGAGTAGCAAGAATATAAATATTATGTCCAACATCACGAGGTGAAACTTCAGTTTCTTCTTCRTCCAACAAGTCTTCTTGATGGTAAGCCTGCTTGCAGACATCCACCTAGTAGTMACATCCACAAAATAATTTTTATCACACATTATTTTAAATTATAATTATTAAATAATAGGTCATACAGATGATTTTAGAGGGGCTCTGTYTGCTCCAAATCATAGCATGCAATAATATCATACAGTATACACAAAGTTAATAATTATGTGATTTTAGAAAACTTGTCCTGTCAACTAAAAGCCTAGCTTCAAATGACTCTAATTTCTATCATTAGACACTGTTAACTCAAATCCCATTAAAATAATGTTACTTAATATACCATTAAAATTATTTTCATGACCATGAATTTTGCAATTTGGAAATAAATACCCCAAAATGGT